ACAAGCAAGACAAAAGCTGAAGTACCCAACTTCCTTTTTATAAAATGCCACCCTCCCCTCCCCCCCAAAAAATAACACATTTCAAATTTCCAATTTACTTGTAAAGGCATGTGTTAAATCATTATTGTGATTCTAAATAATTCTACTATGTAAGTGGGTGGTTCAATAAACTATTTCAGTTGTTATAATCTGTATTTTGTGAACCATGCCAAGCAGCTCAAGGTCATTGCCAAACATTCTGATCTTATCACACTGAAGGCATGACCAAAGTGCATGTGTTGGAGAGCTATTTTCTGGATTGAAAATTTGAAAGAAAAATTTAACTTGTGTCAATGATGCATTTCTGAGGGAAAGATATTCCATTTGATAACTTTCTTGGAGAGGACTTCTTGTTTTATCAGAAATCTTGGCCTCCTTTTTATCTCCCTAGCAGAGACTTTAGCAGGATTTTCTACCAAGTAGTACCAAGTACATTTACCAATCAGTTGTAATGTCCCACTCAATTCATAACCAACACCTGTAAAATAACATGGCATGCTCTCTCTGGTGACCCCATGCTAAGAGAAAGCTGAAAATACCAGTCCATGCTAATTTCTGCAAAGCCCCACTGATGGAGCAGGAGGATTTATTCCCTACTCAGCGCCAGGCCCATTGTGGGTAGGCCTTGGGGTCAAACCCCTACAGGATGACCTTGCGCATGGGGTCGGCCCACAACACCACTCTGCAGTCTGCACAAGTGTAGTTTACACATTTTGGGGGAAATTGGGATTTTATGCATTGCAGTCGACACCTAGCTAGAACAAAGTGTGAGTGGACAGTGGTGTTGGGAACAGTTTGTTTTCTTCTGCCCAAAGGTGTCCCAATGAGCATGTAATTGAAGCGCCTCCTGTCATGCCTGTTGTGATACCTTTGAGACAGTGTCAGGGCGGAAAATTGTTGTCAACTAAAAACTCACCATACAATTTACAAATACAGAGAAAAACCGTGCGTGTTTATAATTATATACAAAAAAAAATTAATGCAAAATCGAACTGACAGGCAGTTACTTTTACCTACATTATTGAAACTAGTTATAAAGCAAGGTTTCCAGTTATAAATTCACTGAGTTCCAGATAACTGAAATTTTGGGGTTCGTTTAAATCCCACTTTCCATGCTTTCTGGGCATGCCGTTTGCATATAGCCATTACGAATTGTTATTCCATTTCTTGACAACCATAAGTACACAGAAAACAACGCTCATTCCACCACCAATAGAAATAAACAACAATTTTCGGTATGTTGCAGCTGTGGTTGCCGGCGGTGTTTAATACCAAACATGCCAAAGGTGACTTTGTTACATGTTTGTTTGCAATCATTGGACAAATCGACAAAAAAATAACCCAACATTCAACAAAGTGTGCTCCACGTTCATGACATTCTTTCTATTACGTACATCATTTATCTCGTGTATTTGTTCTAGAAGTACTATTTCTTACACTACGAAGAAACATGAGGGTTTTTTTTGCATGTCGTGTTCCCATAAAACTCCACATGTACACGCCGCCTGTGAGTTGAGCGCGCAAAGGAGCAAACTTCACGGAGACCACGCTTCAGATAACGGCGTGGTAAATCCCCCTCGACGTAACAAACCCGGGAAGGTCTTCTTAAGTTTTCCTTCTCCGTGTACGTCATGTCTACCAGCTAAACTGAGAAAATGCACCTCAAGAAAACAAAAACGCTTACCATCTATTCAGTACTGCATTGTTAGAACAGTTGATGGACGGTAAAGTGTAAAATTCGGATGTTATTTCAGCAACTTAGTTCTCCCATTCCACCGTCTTACTCCATGTATATATGCCTACACAAATTACATGCATAGCGCACTGACATTCTATGGCACGCAGGTCGTACGCATCGTGCACACACTACTTGCACACCACATTCCTGTACTCTAGTTTATCTCTCTACCGGTATCAAATGTCGCGCTGCTGAAACCCCACGATTGAGATATCGACTCGTCTAAAGAAACTTTTATAAACCCATGTTTTTCAGACAGCAGCATTTTCCTACCTTCTTGTATATTATAACAATGCAAGGGAACATATTTTGCGTCAATTTTGGCGACAATGTCAAAATTAGAGAAGGGTTGTGCTAAAATCGGAAGATACCATTATTAATTTTAGGGGGTTTTGGTAGTACCATTGCCGCCGGCAGGCTTAATGAAGTCCGCCTGGCCCTCGTCGAGTGAGACGGGTCTAAATTTGACCTCGGTGTAATGACAGATTGGAAAGACAAAAGACTTGCAGTTCTTGCGAACCCAAGCGATAAATCCAAAAATCTCGCCACGCCATTATCTCAGCTTTCGGTTTTGACATTGTTTGGTCGTAGTGGAATTTTTCCAAATAATAATTTCGAAACTCTTCTGAAACTAGGCCCCTTTGCTACTTCTCCAAAGGGGCGTTAAAAAAATTATGCCCAGCACGTGGCCCAATTTATTAACGTCAGACAAAAAACAATTCACTTTAAATTTAACTTCAGTCCTTCAAAAGTGCTTGTTACTCTTGGACTACTCAAACAATTGAAACATTTGGTACCTATCATTTTTGTACCTATTTTGCTTGATAATAGTTTTTCATCTTCCTTTTTCCCTCGAAATTCACAGAAGTAAAACAATAATCTCCATCTCATGTTCACAAGTACTTGTTACTTCTTCCTTACATTTCATTTCCTTGCTGAACTTATCTAATCAATATTTTAAGAATTTGAAGCATCAAGAATTTTTATTTCTAGTATTTTAAATGTAGAGTATATCATTTGTCATTTTGGAAATGCCCTTTCATTGTTTTCTTCAAAATGACAGCATGCCAGTAAGAATAATTTCACAGGGAGTTTACTGCCATTACTATCTCAAAACCACTTATGCTTTTCAACAATAATTGTATCAGTTACTTTTTGGATAGCTGCAAATGATATACTCTTCTTTTAAGAACAAACACAAACATACCACACAAATAACACAAGTAATCATTTTGGAAATTGCACTTTCCTTTTTTTTTTAATATTGTCAATAATAACATACAAATTACATGGTGAGTTGGACAAAAAAACAGTACTTTCTAGACTTTTTCCACTGGTTGCAAATCGAAACCAAAATTCTGTCTCAATTTCCCCCACTTTGCTGCTTAGGCAAAAAAAAAGTCTCCGGTTTCTGGTACGCGCGCGCGTCGCCGTAGCCATGCGCGTCGGCAAAATGAAAAAGGTTTTTTTTCAATGAAAGATGATGTCTCAAAACCTCCAAACTCACTGGTTTGACTGGAATCCTGCTGCTGCACAATTTTAACGTGTTTTTAGATTGGGTTATGGTCGAGAATAAGCTTTATGTGGCCTCTCTGGACTCCCATATATTTGCACTACGTTTAGTCGGGCACCATTTGCAGTCATCAGCCGACATTTGAAGCCAAAAAATCAGATAAAAAAAAAAAAGCCACGTCGCCGCACCACTTTTTGGGTAAGCTCCATACCAGAAACCGGAGACTTTTTGGGAGGGGGGGCCTTATTTCTAGTTAAAGCCACTTGAAATCATAAGAAAAGCACACTAAAACAACCTCATGCTAAAATTTACCTTTATAAAATGAAAATTGAACATATATTGTGCTTAATAATACCATGAAGGGAAAGAGTGGTGCAATCTGATGCCACTTTTTTTTCATCATATACACGTCTCAATAAAATCAGTCATCACAAAAAAATTGGAAACGACATGAATCTGGGACTGAGAAACATTTCCAATTTTGTTAGAAAATACCTCCAAAATGCATGCAACTCTCCATAGACTTTGTACACAACCAATGAGAGGGGCGTCTGGATACTACATTCTTTCCCCATAAAGAATAGATTTCAGCAAAAATTTAAGCTTCTAATTTCTGAAATAAAAACAAGCCATCCATGTGTTTCCCACCTTATTCAGAGTGATGTCAAGAAAATATTTCCTTAGCACACGTGACAAATACTCGTCTGAATTGTCACTGAAGTGATATACAGTATACCACATGTTTCTTTCTAAATTGGCTAGGACAGGGCAATAGAGCCTTGCTTTAATTCAACAGGCAGAAGTTTACTTTGAATTTGATTTCATCTGAAAACATTGGTTTTGGGCAAGTATTAGGGCTATTAAGGCCCAAGGCCTCCCCAAACCTCTGCAAGCGTCCTGCTTTGTCGACACCTGCATTTTCCTAGCCAATTACTTGTTCTCCGTGCATGATCAAAATATGAGACTGGATCACACTGGATTAGTTTTCAGAAACGTCTGTTTTTTAATCATTGACTCGTTTTGAATTATACATTCTCAGCTCTTCAATTTTTGATATATCTCAATTCAACATGCTAATAAATACAGGAATTACAACAGAATAAATGTGTGCTTGGCCGATTTTAAACAATTTGTTTAAAACCGGTTTTAAACATACATGTACTTGTTTAATACTGGCCAAGCACACATTTATTCCCATTCATAAATACCTTATGGTCAAAAACTCAAAACAAGTCACAAATTATAAATTTCCAGCAATTTTGTTTTACATTTTTACAAATTTGAAACACACCTCTAGCTATGTTTATGGTATGTGCCTCGCGAAAGTAACAAACATTTCCTTATATGGAGATTGGTGCGCGCTGTGGATGTGTGGATTTAGAACAATGTGTAGTGTAGTGTGGATTTAGAACAATGGAATATTGACTCATTGGTAGTATTGCGCATGCCTAAGTGAAGATTGTGAACGCTCAACCAATAAAAGGGCAAAAGGGATCAGATTTTATAGAAGTCCAAAATTTCACGTGACACCAGGAAAGTGTTTAAGTGTTTTATCAACCGTTTAAAACCACCCACGTGACGGGCTCTTGACCAATAGGAATGGGTGAACTGTCTCAGATATTTATGAATATTGGTTAAAATGTTGCCAGTTCCTGGTGTAACTTTCATTGTGCACGATTTGCTACAAGAACCAGCAACTCGAACACCTCCGATGAATTCAGAGTCAGACTCAGTTGGTTGGGACGAGTCACAAAGTATATTCTTGCACAGGAATACAACCACTGAATAATCTCTCTGAATGCAGGAACGCATCGGACATTTTGCGCTGTGATTTTCAGTGAAGTATGCTTTCAAATTGTCTCATCTTGCCATCATCAGTAAACATGCACCATCCCGTACAGAAATCTGCAAAGAAACTACCAGTTATGGAAATAACGATCATAAAATGAAACTTGATGTAAAAACACCTGAAAAGAGGGGTAAGGGTAGTTGTATAAAAAAAAATCATGCTTTTACTAAAAAAAACACCCAGAACTAGTCAAGCCTGGTTAAGTTGGTTCCACAAGTGCACACATTTCTGTTCAATTGATTCAGAAGGTCTAAATAGTTGGTAGCATAGACCTTTATCATGCTGCCACCATTTCAGTCATGTTCCCTGTATCCAACAACAGTACTGAATGATAATGGTTTTTGTGCAAAAAGGAACCAGACTATTTTTCCTTCCAGGATCGCTTTGGTTATGTTGATTTGAATGGGGAAAAAAATCAAGACGGCCGCAACATGATAATGGTCTATTTTACAAACTATTTAGCCCTTCTGAACCCTTCTGAGGTGGTGATGTGATGGAACTGAAAAATTCACTTTCGCCATTCGGACGGAGACCTGACTTATTGCATGCATCATGAAAGTACATGAGGCAATTGGCACCAGACTAACGCATGTGTTGTGTAGCTACTACATGTACATCACATACATGAATAGGCAAGCCTCGTAAAACTGGTACCAGACCAGTGCAATTTTACTTGTCACCAGCAACAGTCAGTCAGTGACAGACTTAAGCAAGTCTAATAGAAATAATACACAAGTGACTGTCAATGCGCGATTCAGGTACAAAAAGGACTAAAGACGGGCCCCTCTCGGAGTCAGGTTGGCGTGGCGGTTCTTTCCTCGCCTCCGCCACTGTGGCCCGGGTTCGATTCCTGCCCTGGCCACATAGGATTGGGTTTTCAGTCCCTACCCGATTCCGTGGGATCTCTCCAGAATATTCTTCTGGGGTTTTCCTCCCACCTCTAAAACTGTAATTTCTTCTCATTGTCTTCTCTCTACAGGTTTCTTCAGGTTTGCGAGCAACAGTGCCTAGGACGCTTTTGAGGAATCCTTGGTTTCATTACCAGAAATAATGAATATTAATAAATAAAAACCAAATCTAAGTTTTCATCATTGGATCCAAAAAAAAAAAAAATGATGAGAACCACTCACATTACTCACCGACAGAGATTTGCCAAATATATTTCGTTCCAAACGTTTTTGATTAAAAACCATGAGATTATTTTTTTCTAACTTGTTCAATCCAGTATCTCTTGCTTTCTCCAACAGTTGGGGGAAAAATATCAAAAGGATACGTCCAAAATAGCACATATGTCTGAAAAGGAAAAGTTAAGGAAAGTAAGAAGTTCACACCTTATACAACCGTAAACTCACAGACCTTTTTGCTAGAACCCATCCTCAATCCTCCAAAATCCTTCACTTATGTTCAACTGAAGGATACCCACTGCCTCAATCCTTCAAAACCCTCCAACAGCCCTGCCGCTCAAAATGCATTCAGCCTCAATCCTCCAAAATCCCCCTCTTCTTCAAACACCATTCAGCCTCAATCCTCCAAAATCAACCCATACGGAATGTCCATGTGCCCTCAATCCTCCACAATCTTCCAAAATTGTATGCTGCATTCAGCCTCAATCATTCAAAATCCTCCAAAATCGCCCGGAGGACTTTGGAGGATTGAGGAAGGTTAGTATTAACAAACTACAAAGTTGACATATTACACAAAAGGACAGGGGATACATGCCCGTACCTCTCCCCCCAAAACTCAAACAAATTTACAAGGGCGTCGTCTGTAATGTTTGCAAGTCATGTTTCCAGGATGAAAAGCCGCGTCTATGGGATCACGATACTCTTGCCTATTCCAAACTAAACTGCTTTGAAATAAAAGGCATAAATGGGATCATTTGCATTTATTCCAACAGTAACCTACCAAATTATTATCAAAAAGCTTGCTTTGATTAAAGAACGTACTGGTACTAAACACCCCGTGAAATTATTCTGTCTGCCTTGCAATAATTTAGAAAAAAAAACAAGGAATGCTGGTGATTTCCGATTATCAGTCAAAACGGGCTGATCGTTGGAAATAAAAAGTTCCATGCTCGAAACTGTGTTTCTTGATCAGAAAGGTTCGGGCAAAATTTTTCACCGTTTTCTCAGCGAGTGTAATATCCACTGAACTGAAACGTGAACAGGTTAGATTTTGAACACTCCTTTGGAAATTTGAGTGATGTTATTATTGGAGACAGACACAACGCATGAAAAGCAAACGATCCTATATGCCTATAAACTATTCAAAAAGTGGGCTTGCTCTTTCACGATCCACATGATTATCTAAATTGAATGCATATTAGGAAGATAACTTCACTGAATGAATAAATGAATGCCCTACCAGAAACAAAAACCCTTAAATTATAAATATTAATACAATTGTGCTGCTTGATTAAAGATATAGTCCATCATTTGTAATTTGTGCATTTTGTTCGTTTGGAGCAACAAAAGTGTTCAAAATCTAATGAAGGATACTGAACAACTAACCTGATGAAGTTTCAGCTCAGCTTCAGCTGTATATTCCGAGAAAAACAGCATTCTAGGATCTCAATTTGAAATCAAAAGTTGCTGAATCATATTTTGAATTGTTTTGAATTGCAGCTATACGCAATGTCGCGCACTGATCCGACGCATTATAGCAACCGCGCGCGCCTGTGCGTCGTGCCAATGCTTGCGCGCGCTGCGCTGAATAACAAAATGAACTACTAATTTAAATTTTCCTACGGTGTGTCTTAAACCGTTGGAAAGGCCTTCTTTCGTTGATTACTTCAAAATGATAGCTTGCCAGAAAGAATAATTTCACAGGGAGTTTAGTCCACTTACTATCTTTCAACCAAGTATGTTTTTCAACAATAATACGCCAGTTACTTTTTTCGGATGGCTGCAAATGATGGACTGTAGCTTTAAGTTTTACAGGTTGGTGTCTAGAGCTGACAGGAAGCATCAGTCACATTATAGTTGTAATGAATAATGTTGGACTATTGCATATTATTAAGAAGGATACAAATAGTCCACCGAACAGCCCACTGGTGACTAGGGGTTGTCTGTGCCTGAAGAATTCTTGCCAGTTACGTCCTGCCTTCACGCAAAGCATCAACTAAAGAACAAGAGGACACCGTTAAATGAACAAAAGTAAGTACACAGCATCTAAGCACCGTCGACATCAGAATTTTCATTCATAAATACCTAATACAGTTTACCCATTCCTATTGGTCGAGAGCCTGTCACGTGGCCTGTCTTAAAGAGGTTGTGGAATGCTCGAAGACATTTCCGTCATTTTTTGGGTATATGTAGCCTAAGGTGTGATGAAATAAAAACGACTATTGTTTCTGTCATGAAATGAGTACAAAGGTTACTTTTGAGAGCTATTTTTCAGGTCCTGTTTCGACCCGAACGTGCAATTTGTGTAAACGTCGTCGTTGCGAAACACAGTAAATCGTGACGTAATAAACAGGACTCGTTTATGCTACTCTGCATCAGGAGTCCTGTTTATCGTGACGTAATAAACAGGACTCGTTTATGCTACTCTGCATCAGGAGTCCTGTTTATTACGTCACGATTTACTGTGTTTTGTTTGCTGCCCGCAACGACGACTTTTACACAAATTGCACGTTCGGGTCGAAACAGGCATGACAGGATTTGAAAAACAGCTCTCAAAAGTACCTTTTGTACTCATTTTATGACAGAAACAATAGTCGTTTTTATTTCATCACATCTTAGGCTACATATACCCGAAAAATGACGAAAATGTCTTCGAGCATTCCACAACCTCTTTAAACGGATGATAAAGACATGGCTGGCTGGTCTTAAACACTTTTCCAGTGTCACAAGAAATTTGGACTCCCATGAAATCCTGTGCCTTTTAACGTTTCATTGGTTGAACGTTCACATTCCTCACGTAGGCATGCGCAATACTACCAGTGAATCAGGTTTTCATAGTCCGAGATTCAGACTACACCAGCCCAGCTGCGTTTCGCACAACATCGTGCAGTACGCGCAAGCCAATCTCCTTGTAAGATACGGAGGTGTATAGGGACATTCCATATTATAGTCAAAGGGATGTGTCATAAAACATGAAGTAAAAAATGTTGAACAAAAATGGTTGGCAACGTCTAGTTTTTGACTTGTTTTTAGTTTTGGACCAAAAAGATTTATTTTTGTTGATCGAAAAGGTATTTATGAATGGGAATAAATATGTGCTTGGTCAGTATTAAACACTCTGCTTAACCCATAAAAATGACACTTTGATTTAAAAAAAAAAATAATTAAAAAAAAAAGTAATCAGAAGCCCCAATTGTCATGGCTTTCCATGGCTTTCTTTCCAAGCGACGCCGCTTGGCATTTCGTGACGACTATTTACTGTACGCTGACTAAATACATAAAACAGTCACCGAGTTGTGCTATAAATACACCTACGACGTGTCGCACTTACGACGTGTTTTGTGAAATGGATCACAGGACGCGTCGCAGCTGCGACGCGTTGTAGGGATACGATGCGTCGCAGCGCTGCGATGCATCGTAAGTTACGATGAGTTTCGTGAAATCGGGTGCTGGTCACCTAAGGAAGCAATTATTATGGAATCATGGTGTGTTGATGAAAAGTCAGCTTACGAACAACAAAAACCATCAAATAAGTAGTGCTGTGCAATTTTTTCCCCCAAATTTAGTAATTGATTATTCTAACTCAGTAAAGCAAAAAAGTAAAGTCTGTCATGAGCCAATGTGGCCCATCAGGCAGGTGTTTATCTCCGGCTTCAGTAGCATGAAAGGACTGAAACGACTAGTGGGAATAATTAGAACGAGAATGGGCCTGTACAGAGAAGCTGCAAAGGCACTGCCACATTACATTAGCCCTAACCGCCCTGAATCCTTCAAAATCCTCTTTGCCAAAGTGGAGGAATTTGGAGGATTGAGGTTACATGGCAAAAGTGCGTTACTGATTTTGTAGGATGCACTTTGTCAAGGTCTTGGGCCGGACCTAGTGTTGTTTTTGCTCAGCCATTCATAAATATAGGCCTGGATTATGCTTGAAATCCTCCGTAGTACTCCAGGATGTCACTGGCCAAGCCAAAACATATTGACAGTCACTGCCGCAGGATTTTGCAGGATTCAGGCAGTGGTCAACCCTTAATGGAGGAATTTGCAGGAATGAAGCTATATGCTATTTTCCAGGAGGCCAATTGGAGGATTTTGCAGGATTGAGGCTACATCCTAGCAAAAAAGGCCTAGGGAGTTAGGGTTAAAATGGCAAACTATCTGTGCCATTCAGAGAAAATACTTTGTGTTCAGCGCTCCACAACTTACAGAGAAGACAAACGAGACAATGAAGTAGAAGATGAAACCCTCCAAGCCTGTCAATCCCAGAATCCCTGCCGATGAGCCCGAGATGGCCGATACAAAGGTCCGACTGCAAACCCCCAAAAAGAGGGAAAATATAGAAGGAAGACTTTAGAGGCAATGACACAACAAAAGCATTACAATCAAGAGCAAATTATATAATTTGTTACCCTACAGCACAAGGCCAGTCGGCAGTCACATGATTGTATGTTGAGACACATCCTATAAGGCCAAAAAAAATAATAGTTCTGCTTCCGTTTACATGGCATTCTAAAATAGGGTAGGCACTAGGTAGGTAGGGAATTTTTTTTGGGGGGGGGGGCCAATTTTTTTTGTGTACAATTATATGGAGGCGTCTGCGTGTAGTCAAGGGTAAAACTTAGAAATTGATGGTTCTGGGTGTTGTTTTTCTCATTTTGCATATTAAAAAAATAGGGTAGGGGCTGTCATAATAGGGTAGGTAGGGAAACCGGAAGCAGAACTATTATTTTTGGGGGCCTAATGCACTGTCAGCAGAGTAGCCTGCGCTTTCCCTGTTGGCACAGAATCCTTAGTTGCCGGATGTACGCATACACAAATAAAAACAAAAATTAAACTGAATAATGACATGAGAAGTAGAGCATTTTTCCCCAAATTCCAATTTGGTGAATCACATCAAATATTGTGCTTATCGAGGACATGTGTCATTCGTGTATAAACAATACGTTCTAATATTTTAGAGAATGTTGGCCTGTAATTTTTAACAAGTAGTGAATCACCATTGTTATAAATAGGAATGACCCTGGCAATTTCAATGGTGTTTACTACAGATCCAGTAGAGATTGAGAGGTTCATAATAAAAGTTAGAGGTTTGGAAATCGCCAAGGTCAATTCTTTAATAATATTGCTACCAATTAATATGATCGTGACCAGCACTTTTCTTATTAGGAAAGTTAATAACTTTATTTTGAATTTCATGTTCATTTTGAATTTCATGTTCGGAAACCGGATCAAAATAGCTAGTGTTACACTTACCAGTAGGACAAAATGGACATGTTGGTGCGAATTGCAAGTTCATTGTAGACGATGGGCTCTGTAAGAAACATGGAAAGCAATATTAAATACTTCAACCCTGACGTACCTGAATCCATCAAAATCCACACCCCTGTTTTGGAGGATTTCGGCAGATTCAGGATACCTCCATCTTGAAAACGTTGGGGGATTTTCATGGATTCAGGACAGAAAGCCTAGCGGTACTGCAAGATTTTCATGGATTCAGGATACCTCCATATTTAGCAGTTGGGGGACTTTGATGGATTTAGGATCTCAACAGATTAAATCCTTGGCTATATATGTTTGGTGTGTACGAGGTATATACGTACTACACTGGTGGATTCTGATGGACTCATTGGTGGATTCTGATGGACTCAGGACACCAACATTTTTTGTATGACAAAATTGGTGGATTTTGGCGGATTTGGGCGGATTCAGGATACTGTTTTATAAAAGTGCTCAAGGGGATGGGTTAATGATGATGAGTCCACACTTTTTTTCCCCAAGACTTCAACCCCACATCTTTTCTGCGTGTGTGTTTGTTTGTGTGATTCAAGTGGATATTTTTACAGAAGCTATAATGTGTTTTTCAATGGCTTCAGTTACAGAATTTCAACGTAACATTGCGAATCTATATAAAAAAAACTGAGGTTTTAAATTCCTTCCGAGGTTGAAACGCCTCAGTAGGAATGCACAAACATTGGTGGTAATTTAATACGTTTAACAATGTATGCCTACTCATTATACGCTACAAAGAGGGCGCTGTACAATCTAGCTGGTTAAACATCGTTTACTAAACTTTAGTGAAAGAAAGCCGGCCAAATCTAGCCGGCAAAATAGACCCGGCTTTCATATTTTATTTATTTTCAGACTGCATAAATCTTTCATCATAGAAACATTACACGTTGGGCCAATACTAGTCTTCATCTAACTAATCCAATAAATATTCTCAAATTTAGTGTTGGGCCTGAACATGAGCGCAATATTTCACTTTACCGTTCGGAACTTGCAAATCCGTCCGTGCGTGTAGTCCTCTGCTCGTCGCCATTTTGATCTCAATTGCAATACCTGTATAGAGGGCGCCAGCACTCAAGCGCGATGGTTCCACCCATAGGCCATTCACACCAAGTGCTCATAGGGAAACAATGCAATATCGTAAGCCTTGTGTGACGCTCAGGAGCAAGGTGGCATTATGGTTTTTTTTCTCCCTGGAAATTAGAGATTGCGATCCCTTGAATATGTTTCTTTTCAATTTTAATAGTGGTAACTGGGTCATTTTTTTTTTATATCCCCCTCCCCCAAAACCACCCCTAAAACGATTGTTAATCCCTGGGCCCAAGTCTATAAATGTAAGCCCCCGCCTCTATGCGAAATAGACCCACAAGTCCGTCTTTTTTCGAATAAAATCGCCCAAATTTGAATACTTGATTGACATAAATATGTCTACAATCCATCCCAGTTATAGGCCACAAGGACCTCTTATTCAAAATTAGCTGTGGGGTCACAAAATATTAATCAGTGAGCTCCCGCGCACTAATTTGGTGGCGTGCACCCGGGCCCGATGCATTTTTGTTGTTTCCTTTTCTATCTATTTTGGTTCACGGTATGGTCTACCGACTGACGGTCGGTTGGTTGGTCGGACGGTCCTCATTCGGTGGTCCGACAAAATGGCTACCCGCATCAACTTAATTTTAAGATTGCTAACTGAGCATCCCCACTCCCTCCATTGATTCGTGAAGCATTTATTAAAGCCCGAGTCCATCATTTACAGCTATCCAAAAAAGTAACTGGCGTAATTATTGTTGAAAAACATACTGGTTGAAAGATAGTAAGGGGACTAAACTCCCTGTGAAATTATCCTTTCTGGCAAGCTCTCATTCTGAAGAAGTCAACGAAAGAAGGCATTTCCAACTGTGCTTCTTAAGAAGCACCGTAGGAAAATTTAAATTAGTAGTTCGTTTTGTTATTCGGGGCAGCGCGCACAAGTTGGAACGACGCACAGGCGCGCGCGGTTGCTATCATTTGTCGGATCATATCAGTGCGCAACATCGCGTAAAGCTGTAAATTCAAAACAATTCGAAATCATGATGTAGCAACTTTTGATTTGAAATTGAGATCCTAGAATGCTGTTTTTCTCGGAATATAAAGCTGAAGCTGAGTTAAAACTTTATCAAGTAAGTTGTTCTGTATCCTTCATTAGATTGTGAACACTTTTGTTGCTTCAAATGAACAAAATGCACTAATTACAAATGACTATACATTCTGTTTTGTTACTGTTTAAAATGAGCGGAAGATAACACGCCGAACTGTGCACTGAACACAATGAACATTCAAGAATCATTTCCCAAGAGACCTCCAGATGTTTCGCACGTATCATCCTAAACAGTTTGAAACAACTAATTGAAAATAAATTGATAACTTTTACTCATACAAATTTGTTGGTATCAGTCAGTTGAACTGAAGAGAAAGATTATCCCTTCATCAATACATGACGCAACTGCATTCAACAAAGTCATGGGTGTTGGGGGAAACGAAAAGAAAGAAACAAACATCAACTGCTCACAATCATGAAAGGCTAACTGAATAGGCAGAACGTATCACAAGCATAAGCGATGAAAAACTACCAGATAACATAGAAGCCAGTTCTGCTTCCTTCATACCTTTGGAGAAAAAAAATCCTTTACTGCCTCACCTTTGCAAGTGTATTTGTCACTAAAGATCACCGGCAGAATATCCTTTCAAATAGTAGGGAAGAAGGGAACAAAACAATTCTGAGATAATCGAATCTGAATGTGCAGACGGAAGCTGAAGCAAATCTGCCACTGATGAAAAGAGCAACGCCAGATGTTGCGCATCCTTTATCTTACGGATGATTTTGCTATCAAACACTGACTTTGTATGAATTTTTGTTTTTGGTCGTCAGCCGACAAAAGGCCAACCTTTCACGTTTGGGAGCTAAAGGGACAGGAATCCAATATAAGGCGGTGGAGTTTCCTCGATAGAGTCGCAGACGGACCTGTAGGCCTCACAGAAGCACGCAGTTCTCAAGCCCTGTTTCACTGGTGACAATTTCTTCAAGCATGATCATGGCGCGTCTTTCTCTACTGACTGTTTTACTGCTCGCGGTGTACCGTTGCACGGCTAGTGAGTATTTTATTATACGATATGAAGTATTTCGCAATATCCCACTTTGTATACCCCTCCCCCCAACAAAACCCACTGAATACGATAATTTTATATCCTTCCTTTATTATAAAGTCGACTCTCATTACTACGAGCTTGGCTAGGACGAGATACCGGTTAAAACGATCATTTCTCGCCAGTCCCGACCTATTATGTGCACCGTTCCTATGAGGAAAAATGCTTTATACGAGCTTTGATAAAATGAGAATTCGGTTAAGACGAACAGTTTTTTTTAGCATTTTGAGAAACAACTTGTCAATCAGTGGCCCCATTCGATTTGTTTACCGTATCTTTTTAAGGGTCGCTACATACCTGTTATGTCCTGCAGACGTTTCTTGCTTGATTAATTTTTTTTTTTACAAGAATCCGCATAAATAGGGAATGCATGCTGACTTAAAATGTATTTTAAAATACACCCATCACCAAAGTCTTTTCTTCGCAGCCTTTATTTTGTGTTGATCGATACAAGTATCTTAGAGATCCAATGTTTCTGTTCTTTGTGGAAAGGCTTATTGTAACACAACACTGATGTATAATTTGTTCACGGGGTACCACACCAAAAACTCACGGGTTATTACAAAGTTGTAAAGATATTGATTTCAATAAGTTGCCCAAATGTGTCACTCCTGAAGCAAACGATAAAGCAGTACACTCATTTATCCACTCTAAAAGAGTTTTATTTAGAACAAAATCTTACACGGTTTTGTTTTTTAGGTTGCGACAGTGGATGGGTGACGTCCGGCGACTACTGCTACAAGCACTTCACATCCCGTAAGACGTGGGATGCCGCCCAAGCATCGTGCGAGACCAACGGGGGATCTGTGGTCAGCATTGCCAGCAAGGAAGAACAACTGTTCCTGACACGTTCGTATAATTTACTATAGGTTTTTCGGGCTATTTTAAAGCATTTTTCCTTCGAATTCACAGATTCTTATATTCAAATTCGTCCAGCAACATCGATCACTTCCAATGTTTAATTTCGTCTTTTGTCAGACAATTTCAAATTCAGTCCAAACAAATCCAAACAATGAGCACGCGTTTTCGACCCGGAGTATTCGATTTCGTCTCGCCTACACCGAATTGTGTTATTCAGAAATCAAATTCGTCTAATGTAACACAATTTCAATATAAGTTTGTTCAATATCGTCATGAGTTTATAGCGATATATTCAAAGGCATATAGGCCTCTAATAAGAATAAGTCTTAGCATTTTTGCTGTCCTTATTTTTTCATAAATGTGTCATTGATTCTATTTTCTTAAAATAATTATGTTGGACTCAATATTTTTAGGCATACTACACGGGTTTTATGGGTATCGATTCGTGGCTTTTGACATTTCCTTGTTTTCATTGTAAGGCCTTTTCTTTTCTTTCGTTTATTTTAAATAAAGTTGAATTGTTGATCTGAGTAAACTTTACTCTTCTGGTTACTCTTCTTTGAGTTCAGTAATCTGCTTTTGTCCGAAAAAAATCATGCGAACAAAATGCTAAATTGTACTTGGGGACATAAGGAAAATGCTTTAGACTAATTTACTTTATACAAGTTTTAAATTAATTGATAAAAGACGAATTTGATCTCTGAACGCTGCCATTCCGCAACATCTTTGGACGAATTTGATCTGTAATGACTAATATTTCGACCCGGTGACTAAAGAGGGTGACCAAACTTTGAAATTGAATGGTAAATGACCAAATTGGTTTTGATAAAAGCGTGTGAATTTTTCTCCCACGAAATTGAATGTTAGAGATGGTGAGTCTACAATATTACGAGAAAACGAAGACTGAATGCTCCGCCTCTATCATGGATAGAGTCCAGCCCAACACAAATCCTCTAGTCCCTTGCAATTCATCTCACAATTAGTTTCTTAAATGAGTTTCAATTGACAAAGGCATTCCTTTGTTATTCTTCATCAACTGTTACTTGTGACTGGACTTGTGATGGACTGGACTACATCCAATGTAGAAGGACAAAAACTCCACAAGGTTGTATTTTCTGCAACTTTAATTTGAACTCACGACGAGATTCGTTAACTATTTCGATCCTTTGGTATTTTGGCAGAGAACTTCGGCAATCGGAAATTCTGGATCGGGTACGTTCTGGATCCGTTCCAGGGCCATTTCAGGTGGAGCGATTTCTCCGAAGTAAGTAGATACGTGTTGTTTTTTATTTGTGGAATCTTGGCTTTCGATTTTATGTAACTGGTTTATTATTATTTTTTTTATTTATATGAATTCATGTTGTGTAGTAAAGCACGCGAAGAAATTTTGATTGAAATTTTATTGAACACGATCGTTTCTTGTTGGTCACTTTTATGATCGGTAGAGAAGCTTCGAGAGTTGGCATTCGGGTGAACCCAACAATTTGGATGACGAGACATGCGCAGTCACTGGTGGGAACAAGTACAAAGAAACCTGGAACAACGTGGAATGCGACGAGGATTTCTACTACGTTTGTAAAAAACCGGCTCTTGAAGGTATGTTTTGGGGTGATGTGTAGTCTTGGGTCCAGACGTTGTTGTATATTGGATACGCGATCATCCATCGATAGAGAGAGGGAGGGGGTGTTAAAACGAATCGCTATCACAACACGTCTTGGGAATCTTGTAGCGGTAGTTTCATGCGCGCGCACCCATATTTTGCCTAATGTTGCAGCGCGCATTCATTCTCCCCCAACCAAACTGCGAAATATCAACCAGTAAATGCTACCAGACTTTTGTGCAACTTCGCAGCAGCTTTTTGCCCAAGTAGTACGCGTTCGACCGAAAATTGGACCGTAGGCTATTCACCCGGAGTAGCGTAGCGCATGCGCACTATATAGTTTTCCCCATTTTCAGGGTGAGTTTCAGTTTACCTGTGATGTGATGAGTTGATGTGCAGTGTCTTTTCGTATGTGATAGCGGTACGGTTCGTTTTGATAAC